ACAAAGATTTGTGCAGAGATTATAAATGAGCAGCAGATTAGCGCCAGATGAAAAAATCTGTTCTGTTAGAGAGCTAATCTCAGTCAGTTTAGTCAATGGCCGGGTTTGTTGTGTGTCTTTATGGCGAGGTCTTTCTCCCTGTATTTGGAATTTCAGTCAAAATTAACATGTCAGTTTGGATCAAGTCTTTTTCCTCTCAGATGGCTGACCCCCTCTTCAGCATCTCTGCCGCGCTTGTGCCTGGCGCAGGCAACATGGCTACACCAGGCAGGGCTCTGCCGGGCTGCAGCCAGGTAACAGGCAATGCAGAAAGCAAGCTGTGAGAAGGCTGAAGGTAAGGATTAAAAAATAAAATAATTCAGAAAAACTAAAGCAGATGCAATGGCTTCCAAAGCCAAGGGAAGAACAGGGAAGGAGGAAGAAGGCTGTTCAGATGAAAAGAGGAGCTGCATGTGCATCACGCTGTACTCAAGGGACAAAAATAGGTCTTGCTGGTATCCCATGGCCGAAAGGGCAGTGGAAGGTCAGGGTCACCCACTTGCTTGTCGTGGTTTCTCCCAAGAGCAGACACACCTGGAAATCCAGTTTGAACTTTGTGGGGCTGTCAGGCACTGTAAGGTTTAAAGGAAGGGGAGCGATCACATGGACGCACAGGCTGCATGCAGCTCTCCCTGTGCCCTGCCAGGGTGGTACGAGGGAGCACAGTCAACAGCCTTGGCACAGGACTAGGAGCTAGTTTTGCCTGAGTTTTAATCCTGGATAAATCATTGAATCCTCTCTGTGATTCTGACAACCTACAGAATGTAGATATAGAGGTCTTATTAGTCCACATAATCCAGTTCTCTCTCTCTCTCTCTCTCTCTCTCTCGGATTAGCCTGTAATCTTTATTCACTAGTATTTCATGAGATGGAGCTTCTGACACTCCACCTGTAGTATAGTTGTGCAGTCTGGTATTCTCACAGTCGGGAAAGTTTTCTTTTATGTTGCATTAAGATGAAAGTATTAAAAAAATCTCCCCTTATTATTTCCCCTTTCTGCCCATATCATGAAGAGCAGCATTGGAAAATAAGTATTCTAAATCATAATACATCTAAACAAAAAACAGTCAAGGTAATCAAGTCTTCCTATAAACAGAGCTGTTCAGAAATAAGCTGCATTAGTGATGTCTCTTGGTCTGTCCTGCGGGCAGCCATCCTAAGGGCAGGCTGTACCTGTCCCCTTCTCCTCACTGATCCACCATTACCTCCTGCCAAGCCAACTGGGCTTGACCAGAAGCTGTGACCCAGTAGCAGGAATAACAGCAAATACCTTGTATAAAGTTAAGTGCTCTTATCTGTCGCAGGAACATTAAACAGCTAGGAAAAAGTTAAAAATAACAAAACCTTAAAACTAATGTCTTACCTAAAGTAGATTTTTCTTGTTAGTGTAATTATGTTCCAGTCAGGCCAGGTACTTACAGCTGTTCAGCTGCACGGGGCAGGTTGCCCCTTCCAAGTGCTCCCGCTCAGAAGTGCATTTCCCCTTTCCGTTGAATCTCCACTTTTATCTGCATTTTGGCTAGAAAGTTCCTACATGAGAGCCCCCGGGGTTTCTAGCCAGGGTGTTTCATCTCACCTCATTCATTTATCCTGGCCTTGCCCTCTGCTCCACACCCTCGTGGGCAATGTCTTGGGTAAGCGTCCTTTTGAGTACAGGTAATTTGGTTGCACCTGTAGTCGTTGTGTTGCATATCCAAAAGTAACACAAGCTGATTTAAACTGGAGGGTTTGTAAATATTTGAAAGAGTTCGAAACAGCTATTCTTGTGTTTGTGCTTTGTTCCCCAAATGCTTAAGACTTTACCTGTATTAATAAATTAAACGTGCCCAGGAACATTCCCACTGAAATCCCTGGTATGGAGTGGCCTGTGCATGTGCTTGCAGGCCAGGCAGGATACAGCAGGTACCTGCAATTACACAACTGAATCAGAGCTAGTATCTCTCACCAGTGGTGACCTGAGAGACCAAATTAAATTACTTTTTATTTGGAACACATGTCAAAAGTTATGTCGATAAATGAGAGTAACAAATTATTACCATCATCTAAATACATGAGACTTTTACTAGTGTGCAAAATATCTCCTCTATACACCAAAGCAAAAGGAACACATGGGAGTTATCTTTGCAGGATTTGGTTCAGCTCCAGATTGTAGATATCTGAAACTGGTGTCTAACTGCAGGTATTTTTGTGTGAGCTACAGTCTGTGTTCTCACTGTAGTTGATGGATATGTACTCAGTACAGCCCAAGGACTTAGAGAGCAATCCAGCTAACTAGATACAGGAATTTCCTCTAGGGAAAACTGAATTGCTCTCCAGGCTCCACTGGCTCTATTAACTAGACAACTAAATCCTACCTGTGATGTCTGTGGGCTCTGCTTTATATATACAGACGGATGGTATGGTCTGCCTAAGGTAAAGGCAAGGCTTTGGTACTGCCCACAGAACTCTCCCTAGTGCAAGTGTCAGATCTGTTCCCAAAAACCTTGTTTTCAGGTACAGTTTTGTCCCAGTTGTTACCAGTGCTTGTGGTCCCAAAGGTAAGGACCTCCTTACCTTTTCACAAACAAGAAGACTGTACTTGCTTGGATCCTTGGTTTCTTTGCATGCTTGATCTGCCAAATTATCAACTAACTCTATGAAAACACAAGAATATAACAGAAAAACTAGCCATGGTCAGGCAGTCTACCATCTTCTGTCTGAGAGGTAGGAGAAGTGTTCCGGAGGTGCTTCTGTCAATTAAGCAATCGCGGTGGCTGAGTCTGTGTAGTGTATCTGATATCAGAGCTACTGCACAGAAAAAAATAGTACCTTTGGTTAGTGCAAACAGCAATATAATGAGGAGTGTCCTCTTGAAAAAAAACATCAAAAGAGTGCCGTGATTTGGTTGTGTACTTTCAGCATGCTATATTGTTATTGCTGCGTTATCCAGAAATGTCTTCAATTAAGAAACAGCTGGTATTTTCTTCATGGACACAAGCCTTTTATCTTGCCGATTTTTTTAAACAAATTAGCTCACCTATTGCATAAATAAAATAACGTTACATGTAGAGTTCTAAAGCGATTTCTGGTTAATGTTTTATTGACAATTTGACTTATTTTATTTGACTCTTGTACTCAATTTCTTATCAGCTAATGAAACTGCTACACTACTGTGGTTAATTTACCCATTAATTCATTTAATTCTTTATGGCATTAAGGAAAACAGCTTATTATATTATACAGAAATAGATAATGAATTAACATACCTCACTACATATACATTGGTCTGTATATAGATATTCATCTACAAGGCCTAAATGAACTCCTATTATTTGGCTGTTCTATAAATCACCTCTAGTGAGAATGAGCAAAACATTTTTTGCCGATGTGAAAATCCTTTTTTGCCTATAAAATCACTGCAATAAAATCAGAAGATGGCTATGACAGATCTGGGTCACTAAGACAATGCGATGTGCACTAGCAAGATGTTATAAGCAGCAATGTATGGAGTTCTTTTAGAGCAGCGGATACAAAGGACCTCCTTGGTTGCCAGGTCTCATCCCTTTCCGTCATGTCGTATAATCTCTTTGGGAAAATGATCAAGCTCCATCTTTATGCATTACTCACCCCAAAAGACTCTTCTTACTTCTGTTGTGATTAGAAAACTTTTATTAGTTTGTGGTTCAGGTTTTTTAATGGATAGTTCACCTTTTTTTTTTCCTTGTGGCTGCATCTTTTTCAGTTTGAATTTATTCTTTTTCACATAGGCATGATTTGAGTCATGTGCAGCATTCTGGATGAGGCCATAGCAGTGTTATACACAGCGCATTAGTACTTTTTAAACTCACTTGAGACTGCCCTGAATCAAATTTGTCACATCCTTGTCACTTTAATAGCACACAGTGACCAAGACCTAGTACTTTCTCCTCTGTTATTTCCAACTGACAAGTCCCATAGCTGAGATTAATGATTATACTCAAGGGTATGATCTTGCGCTTTGTCCGACTGTCCCTTTTGGGACAGAAATCCAGCATTTTGTATTATGTGAGAAATTCCCATAAGAATTTAAATTAAACTTTTTAAAATGCAAACTTCTAAAAGGCGTACTGAGGTAAGTGGGTTGATGAAAAACTTTATGATTGCTTGGACATTAGGGCCTCAGTTCAGTTACCCACACATCAGTGTCTGATCCCATAGAAAGGCTACCTGGCCTCCAGACAGTTTCTTGAGAAGGAAATTGGCTCCCCATTTGTCACAGCTGCTGTCTGGCAGGTAGACAACTGAATCCTGCCCTCGGGATGAGATTCAGCTCCAGATTCAGATCGCAACCATCAGGCTAGGTCTTCAGTCTAGGTGTCTTCACGCAAATTAGGGGTTCAAAGCTGTCCTGAAAGTCATTAGGAGCTAGATAATAGAGCAAGTGGGTTCTAGGGTGCACTGTTCAACTAACCAGATGTGAAAGAGAAAATGTGAAAGAGTTGAAAGAAGTAGTAAATTCCCGTTGAGACAACAGAGAATGAGGTTGCTTGCTAAAGGCTTTTTGATGTTTCAGAGGAGGCATAAAAATATTTGCACCACACTAAGGAAGATATGAGAAATAATAATGATGGTAACATACATCTCCCATTTCTTCATTTTTGTTCTTTAGCTGTCCAGTGAGGCAGTAATGTTGGAAGACAGAATATGAATGAATCTGAACAAGTCGATAGTAAGTGAGAATTTCAGGCTAGTGTAATTCAGCCCGCCAGGCAGGGCTCCTCTACCATTTATTCTTGTTGTCTTCAAGGGTCCTTATGTAAATATTTGGGAATTTGGCAGGGTACTTTCTCTTTGTTATTGAAGTGAAACATTTGCTGCAAGCATACTGAATGAAGTCTGCTTCGTAATTATTTGCAGTCACAACTCAGCAACGGAGACTTATGGTTGTAAGACTGCCAATTCTGTATTAATGTGATCTTCTTTTCTCCCTCTCCCGGCTGCAGCAAGCACGCAGTTGGTGTAGGAAGTCTGCAAAGCAGAACAAGCAACCATATCCATCTGTGTCAACAGATTCCCGCTTCACCACTCTGCCAGCCTTTCTTCCTCAGAGCCACAGATCTGTCCCCGAACAACCAAAAGAAATGGGTCAAAAAAAGGTACATCATGCAAACGGCCTTGGTCATCATCTTGGTTTCTCCCAGCAGGACTTAAGACACAGTGATCAAGGACACTTCACACGCAGATCCAGCAGTGCTTCCAGCATTTCATGGTCATTTCAACGAAGCAAGTCTCTGTTCTGCTTGCCCACAGTGAACTCCTCCTCAGCCTCAGAGACTTTTCATTTCAGTGAACCATTTCAATTTTTAAATACTGGGTCACCTGCAACCAGGTTAAAAGCATGGAGATGCAGCCCTAGGCTTAACATTGATGACTTGGAGGGTGCGCAGGAGACTGATGTAGACACAGGGATGAAGTTGTCCTTCTCAGACCTGTCTGTGGTCTCTGCATACTCTGCCCTTAATGGATTTTGCAATGACTTGGAAGCCTCTCTTCCCCCACAGAAGCAAATTCTTGGTAAGACGAAACAGGCAGCCACCAGCAGAAGGCCTGTATCAGCCATGTGCAATACCTTTGAGTCAGTTGATGGTTCACTGCCTTCTCTCTCTGAATGGTCTTCCAGCTCATTCACGTCGGCGTCTGTCTCCAAGCAACCCAAACAGTCCTCAAGAGGACCTCCTTGTTCTCTGGATGATTGTGGTGGTGTTTGCTCAGCTTCACCAGCTAACGAAGAAGAATTTTACATCTGAGGTTTCTCTACCTTACACTTTCCGGGGCAAATGTGTTCTACTTGTGAATGACAGCAGTGGGCCCACCTTGAACTTGCAGAAGATTCCTCACTGAGGAGAAGGTGGTGCAGCAGAGCATGCTAAATATTTGAAGAAAGCATTCGGATCCCTCAGAGATGGGTGTCCCCAAAGTACATACAGTAAAGCAATCTGAGCCTGCATCCTGTACGTTTGTGCTGGAGGGGATGATCAGAGGCTTGTCTACGACAGTGCAAGGTGGATGGTTTCTATGACTGACCCTTGGACTGGTGGTGGAGGAGATGCCGGAACAGGTGCATGATAATCCAGTTTCCTTTGGCAGAAACTGAAGAGTAATTTGTGACACCAAACTGCTTTAACTTTTCTGAGGAATTCCCTTAACTCAAGAAAGATGGGAGGAGAAACGGGTCTTTTTTCCCTTTCAAAAGTTCTAAAAGCAGCTCTAAGCCCAGCAGGTCCCAGTAACACATCTCCAGTAGAGTCAGGCAAGACATTTCCTGTGAGGACACACAGTTCCTTCTAACCTCTGAGAGTTGGCAGTGCTGAGGTGGGGAGAAGCTTCACTCCTTCCCCAGGGAAGAATAAGTGCCACTGTATCTATTACTTTGATAGTCCAGGTTGTGGAAAGTGCCAAGAGTGAAACCTTAATGGAACGTTTTCAAACCATCCCCTCAAAATCCATCCATCCTTTCCAGTTGGAAGGGAGCCAGTCTGGGCTGTTGTCTGACCGACTCGTGTAGACAGTGGTAAACCCAAGTAAACCATGTTTGCTACTTCTAACTCAGGCAATACAGAGCTTACCTTTTTGGAATATAAAACAGGGAAGATAAGATAACCCAGCATTTTTATATATTGCTACACCACTAGTCCCAAATATATGGCAACTCCCTATTTTTTAAGGGGTGGTTATTTTTCTGTTAAAAATAATTAATGCAGAAACTTATTCTTCATATTTCCAGTGCAAGCATACTTCTTTCTGAGTAAAACACTTTTTTTCTCAAATACCTCTCTCCAAAGGGAGAACAAGTCAAATTTTACTGGCTTTTCAAGTGATGTTTTTAAAATATGCCTTCTTGATAATCTGTTTTGCTCCGACTCATTTGGTATTTAAAAAAAAGTAAGTAAACAGCTGTTAATATGACAGCTAAGTACCTTCACCAGGATTTAAGTTGTATATACAGATTGCATCACGCATGTTCTGAAAAGTTACATTTTTGGCGGAGAAGCGGCACTGATTGCAGCACTGGTCTAGCCAGTGAGGAAATTACCATGTTAAATGGTGTATGTATAATGCTGTATGTAACCTATATACAGGTACAGATGCTGAAGACCTACCATGATGGCATTGTGGTGGATGGAATAAAAACACATTTGTGGAGAAAAATGTTTGCTTTATTACCAGGTAGTTTTACTCAGAAGAATCGCTGCTTTGAAAAAAAAAAAACAAACAAACAAAAACAAAAACAAAAAAACCCCACACATACTCTAAATAATATTCACAAAAAGTGGAACAGCTTCCCCTGGTCCGTTTACGTAACAAACAATTCTGGAAGAAAGCCAGGCGAAAATTGAGTACAGGTTTATAGGGGAGGAGGGGGGATTCTATTAAACCTGCACCCCCAATCCAGAAGAGGCCAGTGGGATAGTCAGGAGTCAGGATGCTACTCCTCAAGGCTTTTTCCTTGTGCTGCCATTTTCTCCACGCAGGGAAAGAGGCACCAGGCTGAAGTCCAAGTCTCCTCTTTGTGAGATGCTATCGCAGCAAGTACCGGACGTAGACCTTGTCTTTTGCACTAAACACAATGTATAAAAAGGAAAATCTGTTCAAGCTCTAAGAGCACAGAAGATTATCAGCCTTCTCCTGCCATCCAAACTCTTTAGGCTTACTGCAGTTTTGGGTAAACTGTTCTCTTAAGACATGTCTGGGACCAGAAATAGCACCAATGAGGGATTTTTCATGGTGTGCATCTGTTTACCTTCTCTTTACTCTTCCAGAGTCCACGCAGTCTTTCCTCTGACTTCCGTGACCTTTAGATCAACCCCCCTCTGAACACAGCGAACCCAATTTATCTGAAGTTGTGCTCCATGTTATTGTTTGTACCCTGTCAAAATACTTGGACAACACTGTGAGTTCAGACCAGCCGTTTTTTCCATCAGCTTGCAATCCACCATAACAAGCAGCAATGTCTAGGACAGTCAGGCTCCACAGGTTTAAACTTATGATTTATTATTTTCTGTCATATTCGTGGTAGTACAAAAATAAGTGATGAAATAGCATTGCATATTTATGGGACAGCCATTTTATCAACACTAGCCACCTCCAGATAGGACAATCAACAGGATAAATTTGGTTCAAATCTGTTAAAAATTTTAGTATTTATTATTTGGAACAGGGGGAAAAAAAAAAGCCTTTTCACAACATTTTAATAATATAGGTAACATTTGATCTGAAAATGAAATCAGAAACTGGTTTGTGCTGATGAGTCTGTCTGATCCTGGAATCATGCCCAACATCCAGACTCCTGACAAAAGCTGGTTGGGGCTTTTAAGGAAGAGGAGGCTTTGAAACATCTTTCTGCCTGGGTTGTGCCTCTGCAAGGAGGAGTTCAGCCCATCTGGGGGCCGTCTCCCGACGTGGCAGGAAGCACTGGCACCGGAGGTCTACGAGCAAGCACAGGATAGCTCAAGTGTCAGTCGTGAGGCTCATGTGCGGCATTAACCGGCAGCTTCGCAAACATCTCAGCTCCAGATTTTACCACGTTAATCCTAATGGGAAGGAAGCCAAATGAGCTTCCACGGACTCTGAATTTATGCTGTCTCCACTGGTTCCGTTTCCAAGTATTTCTCTTCTGTTTACTGATACTTAACTGGAAATGAAAGTTTTAATTGTTTACATTCATGGTGCTTGTAACCAAATTTTGGAATAACTGAATGTCCTACTGTCAAGAAAAACAGAGCTGATGATAGTGTACAGAAAACTTTTTGTCTGTAATAAAGCAAGCCAGATTTTTAAGAGTGTTTCTCTGAAGGTAGGCTTCATTAATTCCATTCCCATTATTTAAGGGGCTGATCTCTTCAGGGAGTCGAATATGCACAAGTTTTACGGAATTTACTTGTTGTTTTGGTTAAATTATGGACAATTTCATTTGAGAACTGCAGGTTTTCCCTGAACTTTCTCTCCTTCTTACCCCAGAATGCATTGCTTCTGTGAAATAAAATAGAAATGAAAGGTCAGTTGTGCTTAACCTTCTGCGTGTTCATTTAATGAAGTATTGCAGACTTACTATTTTAACTAGGCTTCAGAATGACTGCAGTGACACAAGCTCTCCAGCTCTTGGCAGTGCATGTTGGTGGGATAATTACAAAATAAGTATAGCAAAAATATTCTTATGTTGGACTCAGCTTTGCCTCTGCAGACCAGATCTTTTGATTCTCACTGTGCTGTTGTAAATCATTTGCCCCAGTAAAGCTGAATGATGAAATAGGAGCTGTGACACATATCGGTAATCTTGCGTGCTTAAATCCCATCTTGGTTTGTTTCATGTACATTGGTCTTCATAATAGTGCTTCCCTCTTATTTCCATCAGTTTGTGGTGTTATCTATTGCACATTTCTTTATTCCCCTCATGGAACGTGTCAACATTACATTGTATATGCAAAGCTGTGTAGGTTTGGCTTTGTTTAGTTTTTATGTGTTTATGGTTTAACACTGTGGGGTTTATATATAATTTATATGGCAGTTATAGAGTTGTAGAAACATCAGGAGTTGGAAGAGGCCTCTGGAGGTCGTCTAGTCCAAAGTGTCTGCTGAAAGCAGTCACAAAGCTGGTGAAACCTCAAAACTTTGAGGTTAAATCAGGTTGTTAAGGACCTTGCCCGGTCAGGTTTGGAAATATCTGAAGGTGGCAATGTCACAGTGTCTCTGGGCAATGTGTGCCAGTGCTTAACCACTGTCCTGGTGAAGAAGTACTTCCTAATCTGCAGTCAGAATTTCCCATGTTCTAGCTTGTGATCTTTCCCTCTTGTTTTGCTGTGTACCTCTGAGAAACTCTGGCTCTGTCTTCTCTGTAATTCCCCTTTAGGTGCTGGAAGACTGCAGTTGTTCCCACAGCCTTTTCTGGCACATCATATGCTCTAGCTCCCTGACAAGCTGAACTCTCTCCAGTTTGTCACTATGTCTCTTGTACTGAGGCACCCAAAACTGTATGCAGCCCTCTGGATATGATTTGAGGAGTGCTCAGTAGGCAGGAAGAGCAATTTCCATCAACCTGATGGCTACTCCCTTGCTTATACCACTCACTATGCTGCTGGCCTTATCACTGCAAGGGTGCACTGCTTAATCATGTTCAACTTGCTGTTCTCTGGGACCTCAAGATCCTTTTCTGCAGAGCTGCTCCTTAGTCAGTAGGTGCTTAGCTTGTGCTGTCATAGCAGCTTAGTCCATGCCAGGTGCAGGACTTGCATTTGTCTTTATTGAACTTTGTGAGGTTCTCGTTGGCACCTTCCTCCAGCTAGTGAAGGTGTCTGTGAATGGTAGACCTGCCCTTCAGTGTATCAGTCATTCCCCCCAGTTGGGGGTCACCTGCAAACTTGCTGAGGGTGCATTTCATCCCCTTATGCAAGACATAGATGAAAACATTGAACAGCACTGCACCCAGTGTTGACCTCAGAAGAATGCCACTTCTGAGTGGCATTCTGAATGGCTACCAGTTAGACTTAAACTGTTGTCCAGTACCCTTTGAGCCTGACAATCCAGTCAGTTATTCACCCACATTGTAGTCCACCCATCTAGTCCATGTTTCCTTGATTTGTCTATAAGGATACTGTGGGAGACTATGTTGAAAGCCTTGCTAAAGTCAAGGGAAATTCCATTCGCTGTTCTTTCTTCATCCATCAAGGACGTCATCTCATCAAAGGTGGAAATTGTGTATTTTACTGTTGGTAAATACATGCTGGCTTTTCCAAATCACCTTCTTGTCCAT